TTTTTTTGGCCGCTAGCTGGTATAGGGATTGAACCCTGGACCTTATGGGCTGTTTAGAGCTTTGAATTTCTGGGCCTAACTGGTGCCAGCCAACACAGAGCAGGCACTGTTGGTAATGATTTGAATACTTTGTGAAGACTTTGTATACATTTCTCACTTCCCTTGGCTTGATCAAAAATTTATTGAACATGAACTATATGCCAGACATGCCCCTTATCCTTACACAGCTTATGGTCTATGGGGGAAAGATAGACATTAAATAAGTAACCACAAGTTTATGAGTTTTACAAAAGGGGTAGTTGGTGTGCCATGGAGACACAGAACAGGGGTCCAAGTCTAATCTGAGGGGTCAGGGGAGGATTCTCTGCATAAGGAGTATTTGAGCTGAGACTCAGAGGATGAGTAGGATTAGAGCAGGCTGCAGGGAGTGGTACCCATGCAGGCCCACCTGTGCATAGGAAGTGGTGCATGGAATGGGCTGCAGGGAGACCCAGTGCTGCCTAATTGTCCTTCTCCTCCAGTGAATCGGGGCTTGGCCCACCCACATTCTGGATCTCAACTCCTCATCAGTCATGAGTGGGTTGGCTGCAATGGCCTGTGCTGACATGGACTCTGGTCTGGGTCCAGAGGGCCAGAGATGGAGTGGTGTGTAAGCAGCAACCCCTCAGGGCTCCCTCCTCTGACTCGGGCATCACTTGGGCTGTTGTGAATTCAGTACCACCTAGCACTTGTCAGAGCAACATTAAATGCCATCACTGCTAGCAGTTTTTACTAATTTTTTATTAATATAGAAAACGAGCCCAAGGCAGTTTGACCAGTAGTACAAAGCACCAGGAGTTAATACTATTCTGGTGAGAGCATTGGCTTTACAAAATGCAGGAACAGGTAGAGCTGCCCTGGTTTGGGGCTAGGCCCAGCCTACTGCCCAGAACCTGAGAGCAGCACCTGGACCCAGCCCCTGGGAGAGGGCTGATAGGTAGGTGGGGGGCAGGATGAGCTGGAGGCCATGGGGATAGAGGGTCAGGCAGTGGGAACCATCCTGTGGCTGATGACAGGGGACTGTTGGCTTGAGGCTTCCCATTGGACCATGGGAAAGGGCTCAGGGAGGGCCTCAGCTCTGGAGGCAGGTAAAAAAATATGGATACTAGTGGGCATGGAGAATCCAGACCTGGCCCTGGGGTTGAAGGGCCTATTCCCCCACTCTCCACCAGGGGCCACCTTTGCTCTATACTATATATGGGGCTTCAGGGCCCAAGGCACAAAGGGAGGCTCAGAGGCCTCCCAGTTGGTAGGAAAAGGGGGCAAGTAAGGAAGCACTTGAATGTTCCCAGCTTAGGCAGCCAGGGCTGAGACACAGGGAAGGACTACAGCACCCCTGCACAATGGGGCTAGAATGTGGGGCAGGGATGGGCCTCAGCTGGTGACCAGGACTAACCTCATGGCAATGGAGCCTGCCTCGAACCTTGGCAAATCAAGGCTGCAATAGCACTGAGTGTCAGTGGACTGGGTTCTAGACTTAGCTCTGCTGAAAGTCATATCACACAGAGCTGTGTTACCATGGGCCAGCCATGTCCTGCCTTGCCCTGTTCCCTCATCTGTCAGTGAAGGCTTTCAGGTCATAGAAGGGACCTGCAGGTGAAGGGAGCTCTAGGACCTGCTCTTAGTAGTTAAGTGAAACACAGAGCTGTGTTACCATGGGCCAGCCATGTCCTGCCTTGCCCTGTTCCCTCATCTGTCAATGAAGGCTTTCAGGTCATAGAAGGGACCTGCAGGTGAAGGGAGCTCTAGGACCTGCTCTTAGTAGTTAAGTGAAGACTGGTCCAAATCAGAATCTGGATGGAACTGGCACAGGATGAGGGTGGGGGTGATGGAGAAGATGTTCTTGCACGGAACCTAACCCCATAAACACTCCAAAGCTAGGAAAGGCTGCTGGGAGCCCTCCTTTGCCTGGAGGAAGGAAAGGCTGCACAGGGAGAGATGTGGCTCGGTGCAATCCCTTCACCACCACTCGGGGAACACTTGGCATGGAGAGAATGCGGGGCACTGTGCATCCCTTCATGTTCTTCCTCTGGGTGGGGGGCTCAAGGCCTCTTCTCGCTTCTGCCTCTAGCCCTTAGTGTGGACTCAGGAGTGATTTTTTTTCACTGTGGTCCTATCCTGGGGACAGCCCAAGACTCTGCCTGGCTGGCACATGTTAGCTTGTGAGGGAAGGATATAGGGGGTGCGTGAGTGGACAGAGAGGCGAGAGTCACTCGCTGGCTTCCTCCTCTTCCTCTGTCTAGAGAGAGCAGCTCAGTCGACCGAGTCGCAGATCTCCTCCACCACAGCGTTGAAGATGTGGGGCTGGTCGGCATAGACATGGTGCGATGCACCCTCAATCTCCTGTGGAGAGAGGACCCGCGGTGGGAGATGGCCCTTTGTTCCTGGCACTAGAAAGCTGTCGCACCATTTCTTTTCCCCTTAGATGAGCTTGCCTGTCATCCACGAGCTCGTAGCAGAAATAAGGCTTCACCTTTCTCCCAGGATCACGGTACTTTCCTTTGGGAGGCAACGAATCCCAATATCCCATTCTACTTCTGTGGCTATTCACTGTCTCTTTCTTTCCATGTCAGCCCCACCACCAATCTGCTCACTTCATACAGAGTAAGCCAGGGCCCGTGGGGGCAGCCAGCCTAAGGGAAGGCAGAAGGGTGGCGCGAGGGCTTCGCAGCAGCCTCTACTACTCGTCCACTGTTCATAGCGCTGGTGTGGGGAGGAGTTACGGGGGGCCAGAGTGGCAGCCTGTGCCTGGCTACTGGATGA